CCTGCACTTGTGAATTTTTTTCTCCGAAACTATTGCAGATATAGAGGAAAATAAGATACCATTTTCCATCATTTGAAAGGGGGGATCACATATATTTTTTTGAAAAAAATCCAAGACTATGACCTGATGCAAAAACCGTGACCCTGCCTGATTTGAAATGGAACCACCCACGTAGAGTTTACGACGTTTCCTCATCAGTTCTCTTTGGGCAATGGTCAAGAGGATGAATACGCAGTCGATGGTGGATCTGTCAGGTCTGGATCCAAATCGGGCGTCTGTGATCTTATGGTTTTTCTCAGCCCATTCCGATAGCCGGTTGGTCAGTATTCCTGTGAAGATTTTACTTATTGCTGGGGGGAGGGTTATACCCCTATAAGCGTCTGGGTCACCAGAATCGCCTTTCCCTTTGTACATAGGTACGATCACATTCATTCTCCAAGATTTAGGGAATATGTTATCGTCCCAGAGACCATTGAAGGCTCGTACAAGCAGGCTCACCCATGTCGTATTCAAGTTCTTATTGTATTTGACGGGTATTCCTTCTACCCCAACAGCTCTTCCGTTTTTTAGCCACTCAAGGTTTTTCTCCACCTCTGCGCGCGTGAATATACAATTTTCATTTTTTTATGGGTATTTCCTTCAACATAACTCCCGCTTGTCCCCGACTTTCAGATTCCACCCAGAGGCATCTTCATTTGAGAGTTCCATCAAATGGCTTAACCACTCCTCCTGACTGATTTCTTCCCTGCTGAAGTATTGGTTCTTTCCTAGGACTTTACGTAATTGTTCCCATATTTGTTTCGGGTTCTTCAGAAGGTACGCAGCTCTTAGGGATTCGTTCAGTCTCTCTGTGTATCCTTTTGGCTTCACGTTTGGCTGCTCGAAAATGCATCTTTGCTGCTATGCATTACTCCAATGCTTCTGCTGTTCTCGACTGGCCATATACCTTCACCATCCTTCTCATTCGTCTTCTGGAGGCCTGACAGCTAAGGCGTTCCTGCTCAAGTGGTCAAATGTTAGTCACATTCGTTGGGCTTCAGACTCCGATTTGCTTGAAAAAATTATTGCATGCTGACAATCAAGACTTATGAAAAAATCCAAAATTTGGGCTCTCTGGTTCTAACAGATCTCGAGATATGCAGCCCCAAACTTCGCCCCTAGAGGAAAAGTGGCCATTAGGGTTAAAGCGCTATCTTACCATTTCCAAGCGCAACAATTTAGTCGTTATCTTTAACGCCTGCATGCATGTACATTTCAGAAGATTCAGACTTCCGAATGGAACAAGTGTAATGTGGCTGTTGCATATGTCAAATGACTGTGTTCATGTCGATGGTAAATCTAAATATAAGGTCTTTCAACTTATGAACAACGACATTTGACATACGAGGGGCGGTCTGATAGCCTTTTTAATTTCGCACTCGCACACATACGCGTGATGGAACCCAGGTTTTGATGCTCATTTTCCAACGATGTGGAGTTTCTGGTGGCCATTTCTACTGGTCTATTTCCAAAACACTGTTTTGGTTTGTTCTGCACCCACACTGAACACCTTCCTGTTGAATTTCTCTGGTGCCAAAGTGCCGTCGTACAAAGGCACCTTAATAGCTTCGATCGAACCACGGAGGTCCGTGCTGCTGAGTCTCACGATGCTCGCGAAGGAAAGTTGGGTGACTCATAGTGTCTCCTCCCAAAGTGCACAAAAGAGTTACAGTATAAAGACAGCGCTAGCTCCATCTGCTTGAGAGGAGATAGTTCCTTTTATCATTTCCCTGAGTTGATCAGCCTTAGGTTCCCCTTGTTCCAGTGCGTATTTTCCTGCATCATCTGGGCGCCACCTAAATCTGGATAGAAGTTGTGTTTGGGTCGTTCCTCTCTCCTCTCTCCGCTATTCGCTTTGTCCCTGCAGCTCGCCCCCCTTGAAGTCTGAGCTGAGCCGTCAATTGGTGATGATTTGAGTCACCTTCTTTATTTATGTCCAGGCACTCTGTCACTGAATCATTAAGTCTTTCTGAGACGATGATCTAGTCCACCACACTCTGCCCAGAGGAGGAAAAGTATGCGAATTCTCCTGATGAGGTACTCTCCGTACGTCCATTAAGTATTGTCAACAACTCCAGATAACAGAGTGTTAGTAACTGCCTCCCTCCATCTTCAATGGTTCTGTCTATCCTAAATCTCTGCATATATGCATCCCGGGTTTTCATACCCGGGGAGCCCATAATATTTGTGATGAATGGTTCCCTGTGCCAACTCGACTTCATTTCCTATTCGGGAGTTAAATTCGCCTAGGAAAATCCACTCTGCTCTCGGATTGCCTGTTCTAATCCTCATTATTCATCCTCTAAATCCTCATAGAAGTTGGCGTCGGCATAAGGAGAGCAATGGGGGTGTCGGTATACCAACATTACCAAAACTATAAAATCAGCTCTTCCTATATCCATTTAGATGCATAGAATTTCTTCCATATGGGTTTCTACTACCTGAACTCCCATTTCTTTTGAAATCTTCATAAATAAGGCAATCCCGCCCGGGTGTCTTCCAAATTTGGGGTTCTTCTTTTGGCATTTCTCAAAGCACGAATACCCTGGTATGGAAAAAGTGACTCTCAAGAGGCCCATGTTTCGACGCAGCCAAATACATGAAAGTTCTTCACAAAACGGGTGAAAATTGTATTAAATTTGTCCATTAGGCCGTGTGCATTCCACACACCTACTTGTAACAAGTATGGGCCTCTCTTTCTTTTATTCATCATCCACCTTTTCCTCATCCATCGTGGGAGGAGGACTTAACGTTTCTGAGGTATCACTGCCCTCCCCCGACTCTCTCATGACTTCACCGACTTTTATTGTCCGCTCCTTTGGGTCCATCATGGCTACATCCTTCGCGCGTTGAGCGTTTTCTTTCCTTTGAGTAAGGCGAAAATACTTGTCCAGTTCTCCCTTTCTTCTGCCTTCCTGTCCCATCTGTGCCGTTCTGTGCGTTGATCTCAGTGCTCTTGTGTCTGCTGCCACCTCCGCGTACGCTGTATCCTCATGCCTTCTCCTCAGTACCTTTCTCTCTTGGGGTGTTTCTCCCTGCCCCTCATGGAGGCTGCCGTTGATGCTAAGCCTGTCTCTGATAGGTCTGACATATTTTCCTTGCTTGCGGGCTTCTATCATAATGGGAATGAGTTTCTTCCGGGATTCTCGAACAATTTTAGGGAAATCCTCAGTTATCCAAACAACTGAGCTTGACTTGTCCAAATTCTCCCTCTTGGCTTTGAGTATTTGTATTTTTACTTGCCAGTTCTTCACAGTTACCGGGATTGGTCTATGCTTGGCCTCTGCTTTCTTTTTTTTTTTTGGTCTATGCTTGGCCTCTGCTTTCTGATCTCCTTTGGGTCCAATGCGGTAGACTGCTGTGACGTCGAGAGGGGGTTAAGTCGCAGTTTGTTGACCCATAGGTCATCTAATTTTCGTCGAATCTCGGTCTCTGTTTCTCCGGCATATTCCTTAAGCCCATGAAGGATGATGTTATTTCTTGGGATCAAGAAATCCAAGCGATCCAACCGAGCCTCCAGGTTACGGACTTTCGTTCTTCCACGACTTCCTTGTAGGTCTGTCTCCCTCTTCATGGCACCTGCTTCTTTTTTTTCATTTCCTTCAATTCCTTTTCCATTTCATCTTGTTTCTTCTCTACTCCCACTATCCTATTTTGTAAACGGTCTGCGATCTTGCTGAATTCCTCTTTCATCTGTTCCATCGCTTCCTTCATCCTTCATCTTAGTTCGTATGGCCTTTACTTCCCTCTGGAAGTCTCTCAAAATGTCTTCCTGTTTCTTCGCTTTATTCTCACTACTTCCACGAGCAAGTTGAGGGCTTGATAGATGATAGTCGACATTGTTGGGTTGGTCTCCATTAACACCTATTGCAAAGCCCTGCAGGTGAGATTATAGGACCTCTATCGAAGTGCACACAAACCGTTAGCTTCAGAGAGATTTGGCTAGATGTCGCCAGTGCATGGGGTCGTGCCAGGGTAATGTGGCCCTGACATCGGTTGATCTCCAATTTTCTTCAGACACCGGTTCCCAGTACGACCATTTCTCACCGTTGCCTGGGTGACACTTTTCTCAGGATGTCCTTCCACCCTCCAACACAACACCTCACCCGTCCACACCAGAGCTGGTAGGAAGTTGATACTAAAAACGTGTATTCTTTCCAAGACACATCTCTCAGCAATGGTTACACAGTCGCCATCTTGGACTCCCTTTCTCTGTCGTCAATGGTTATATTAACTCCTTTATATTAACTCCTATTATATTAACTCCTTCTTCAGCCAGAAAAGCGTGGGTGAACCTTTCACATGCTAAAATGGATCGACAAGTATACGGCAAAATCAGCGGTTCTCAAGCTTTTCATGTTTCTACCTCCCATAGTGATCCAAGCGTAGCAGTGCACTCTCATTCCATCTTTGTAACAGGAAATGGAGAAGACGGAAACAAGAAAGATTGCAATAATTCAAGGACCGGGTTTCAGTTAGGAGACAGCGTCACTGTTTTTAATGGGGGCAAAGCCCACATGCTTCTGGGCCCATAAATGATATGATTTTCTAAATATGTATTTATTATTTGCTGGGAATGGAAAAAATACACAATTTACTGTACAGTATATACAGACGAGGGATGCCGCACAGCCATGGCTGGTTGCCCCTGGAGATAATCAATGACAAGAGTGAAATGATATGTCAGAGGAAAGAAGAACCAGTCAAGACTAATAAGAGACACAGTGGATATCTATGTAGGATGAGACATGTAGGAAACTTAGGGAGTGAGGATCACAAATTGTTACTGGTTTGGGTTGTAATTAGATGATTGCAAAGGGAAGCCTCAAAGGACTAAGGGTAAGTGATGAGTCTTGGGTGAGGATAAATTACATATGGATATCCCTCAATGCCAGAAGGTTCTATGGAAGATAGGAAGATTCCTGCCTGTCACTGAAAGATTGTTGGCGGTTATGGAGCGCGTATTCTAATGGTGGCGTGGGTGCTGGTATTGTGGGCGAAGATAGGTTATATAGGATTTAGAGTTCCATGGGTCACTAGGAAAATTCCATCTAATACAAGGGGCATTTAAAAAGTCTTAGAACTTTTTATTTTCTGTCTCATGGCCTAGTCCGACATGCTTGCAAAGGGACTAAGATTGTTCCAAATGTCCAGCCTTGGAGGAGTCTGTCTAACAGCTCTTCTTGCAGGACAGCTTTCTCCTGACCTGCAGGGTCCAGATGGTTAACTATTGCCAGAATTAAGCTCCAACGCGAATCAGTTCTTGAAGGACTTTTCCCGAAATGCTGTAGGAGTTTTTAAAGGGTTGACATTTTCTAAAAAGAATAGCGTTAAGTAAGACTTTGTACTTCCTAGGAGTCAGATAATTTCTGGGTTTCTTGAGGAACTCCTGTTAATGATGAGTTACTTTTCTTCTTCCATAGAAGGAACATTTAGGATTCTCCTTTATTGTTTCTTATTTAATGTCATTCAAGCCTTTTCTTTGTTTATTGCAGGTGACTAAAGGAAGATGCCTCTGTGAGAAATTTTCCCAATACGCAAAACTGAATAGCTGCGAAAAAAAAGGAACATGTGACATTCGAGATTTCCTTGGAATATACATGGGGGTGGAGGATGTCCGACTCCTGAAAGATGCTGCCGACACATACGTGGAATTGCATTACCCTGAAGCGTATACAAGCGTGTATTCACTACCGGATGGATATATATTGAGTGATGAGTCGGCAAAGAAGCTCGAGAACACGGCTCGCAGGAATAAGACAGATGTAATCTTCCCATCGGAAGAACTTGCCGTTGCCAAAGTATTCCATTGTCTCCAATTTGAGCTGAAAAACACTCCGTCTTTGACAGTGGCTGGATATGAATCTCGACATACATTTTGGGAGTGCATTCTTCAATGGCATGAGGCAACATATGAAAAAAATAGCTCTTTACAGGAAAATGGTAATGTTCAACAGGTGAACGAACGCTCTCAACAGGGAAAAAAAGAGGAAAGTCTCAAGAAAAAACAAAAGGGGAAATCTCGAGAGATCAAGAAATTGGGAGTGCCTGAGTGTCTCGAAAGCGGTGATCACGATGTCTTAGGCGTTGGAATATCTGGCGAGGACATCCTTGTGTTGTTTTTCCAAGTGAAGAGCTGTCCAATCGAGAAATTCACAACAGTGAACGGGAACCTTAATATTGCTTGGCAGCAGATAGAAACGGATTTACAGCGCTTTTGCCACGTGTCTCCTGCTTTTCTGCCTCCGAACAAAACGCAAGACGATAACATTAAAATAGCAGGCTTTCCAGCGTTTCCAATGCTTTCAAAGTCGCAGTTGGAGAAAGCGGTCAAGTGTGAACCTTGTAGGGGCCTTATTCTCACATCAAACGATGTGCAGAGTTCACAACACTTCCGTGCATTTCTGAAGAGACATAATATTGAGGTGAAGATGTCTTGGGATCCTGAAAAAAGCCCAGAAAGCTATAATGCATTTTTGAATAAACATGGAATTGAGAATGGGACCTCTTTGAATCTCAATAACATTGAAAGATTAAAGAAATTTTTGCAGACTGATGAAAGTATTTCTTGGGATTCCAATGATCCAGAAAGCTTTAAGAAATTCTTAGAGGAACGAGGAATCGAGTTGGAAGAGTATTGGGAACCAAATAATCCAGAAAGTTTCAAGACATTCTTTAAGAAGCACGGACTTGAGATAGATGATTCTTGGGATTTCAATGATGACCAGATCTTCAAAGCATTTTTTCAGCAACTCAAGAAAGACTTGGAGCAGCCATGGGGCCCAAAGAAGACTTACCATCCCAATAAACCCGAAAGCTTCCAGACATTTTTGGATAAACATAAAATGAAGTTGACGTATTGGCGCCGGGATCCCAAATCCCCTGTCATTAAGACTTTTAAGAGCATATTTGATCTCTATGTTTGTGCTTCATCAGCCATGGACATCCCAAGAAAACTGAAAAAATTCCCTCGCAACAAAAATGAATTATTATCAAAAAGTAAGAAACAAATGGAAAATATGCGCCTGCTGCTGCTGAGCAAACGTCAGCATAAGTTGGCCAAAAGTGAAGAGAAATTCATTTTCATATGTGGTGGATCGGGGACTGGCAAAACATTGGTCCTCGTGAAACGAGCCTTGGACTTCGTGCAGAATTGTAACCACTATATATTGGTAGTCAACGTTGCTGGAGGAAGTCTGACAGACGAATTTGAACGCGAATTTGAAGGTGAGACGAGTTGGACATCGCAGTATTTAAAAATGAAAGATACTTATTTGGCAAAATACATTGCCCAGAATTAAATCCAGTGAATTCCATCAATTCAATTAATCCGGGAGAGCATGTTACGTACTTCTTCTAGCTAAAACTCGTCAGAAACAAAACAACTTGAAGCATGACTTAAGCAGTCTCTGTTCATTATGTTCGAGTAGAGTAACTTCAAGTGATAGGCAATCATGAAAATGGTACTTGACTGTAATGAAGTAGGAACTAGTATCGTTGATGCCTTCACTTTGAAAATTAGAGTATGTCCATGTCAACAGGTAAGGAGCGGATAAAAGTCATCAGTGGAAAAGAAAAAGACTGGAAAAATGACTTTGACAATTTTTTGAAATACCTCCAGGAAGAGGGTGCAACAGATGGAATAAAAAAACGGGTCCTTCTTGACGAAGTTCCCATCACACTAGGATTCAAGGAACACCTCAATCCAGAAAATCTTTCCACTCATTGGGAAAAAATAACCAATTTGAATGGCTTTGAGTCCATCACCATCATCTTCAGGACCTATGACAATACATACTCGAGAGACTTCAGGCTTACAGATGTTAAACCTGGGGGTGTCGAGCTTGAAGTTCTTGACCGTGTGTACAGGAATAGCAGATTCATATCTCAACTGTTCCTGGCTATTGGGGATTACTCTCGGAGGGTCTTCATTTCAAGGGAGCAGACAATTCAATATGATATTCTCCCAGGGAAGAAAGAATGGTTGCCCAACGTTTATCTCATTCCATCTTGTTTCGCTCACCGCCCAGATGTATGCAGGGAAAACCGTGATTGCCACCTCATAAGAATCTGCCATGTCATTCGATATATATATAATGAATATATGAAGGAAAGGCCAGATGAATATAAGTCAATATCAATTGTAGTTGATGATGATGCGAAGAAGGACAATCTCGTGAGAATTCTCACATCTCTTTATGAAAATATTCCCATCGTTTACCTGAAGAATGTGCCAAAAAATGCGAAAAACGGGATGAACTCTGAATTAAAAACGGGATTCACTTGTTCTATTGAAAGCAATGAGGCCCATATCATTGTTCTTACAGAGAGTGAAATGATTGGTTGTCATCACGATAGTATCACTGTGATCGTGGACATTCCTCGGTGTAAGTGGGTGAATTACATTCGTCTGATAGCAGGCGTGGAGAACAAAATAAATCTTGTAATTGAGGAAGAGGAGTTTGATACAGGAAAATTCTCCACTTTTGTGAAGGTGAATCCTCAATGGACGAATAAGGAAACAGATAAGATAAGTAAGGAGGTGCTTCTTGATAACCTGGAAAAGGTGAAGGAGAATGGAAACCACACGAAGGGCCATTTCCAGAAAGATTTTCCGACGGAGTTCATCAAGAGTATGATGTATCGGGATGGTAATGAGGCAGAGAAAAAGGAAGAAATGAATGCGATTCGTAAAAATTACCTGATTGCGATATTTGGAGGTCCGAATTCGGGGAAATCGAGGAAAGTCCACAGATTGATGAAGAAAGTGGTCGAGCATCAGGGGCAAGTCGTCCTTTTCCATTGTGGAGGCGTATTATCTCAGGAGCTCTGCAAACTAAGCTGGAGAGAAAAAGAAGAATATGTCAAAGTTGTTGGGATTGATTCCAATGATTCTCAAGAGAGATTCAAATCTCTGCAGGACATTATCGATTATGCAGAAAGTATGAACGAAGGCGAACTGGATGACGAAGGGGAACATCGCAAGCAAGGTGAAGAAAATGAGGATGACATTTTTTTTGAAAACTTATTTTTGGTTGTTGAAGACTGTCCTGTATGGGAAGGAATGGAAAAACAGATAAGGGAAATAGTGGATAATCTGAAGGAGAAGAAACTGAAGCTCATCATTTCCTTCAAACCCCATTCAGAAAATGCAAGATGGATTTCAGTCCAAAAAATCCAGAGCGCAATGGAAGCAGCTGCAGAAGTTTGTTCCATCTTCATGTCATGTTTCACACTTTCAGATATCAATAGGCAACTTCTCACGCACATACAGCAAAACGAAGTCCCCTCATCTTTGGAAGTGCAAGCAAGGAGTTTGCATGCCTCTTCAACGTCCGAAAGCACAGTTTTTGGTTTGCCGATTATTTACATGAAATACGAGTGCCCAGGTCATCATTGGAATTATACGTGCAAGGGAAAGTACTACTGTGGAAACTTTGAACCTTTCCTCGGATACCTCCTCCGCTTTATTTTTGCAGAAGTCCTGCATATGAAAGGAAATTCGATAGAAGCCCCGATGGAAGATGAGGAGGAGCAGAGAGATGAAGAGGAACCGAAAGATGAAGGGAAAATGGTTGAGAAGCAGAGGAACGAGGAGCAAATGGACGAAAAGCACAAGGAGGAGGAAAAAAAGGTTGAGGCGGAACATGCAGTGGATAAAGAAGACATTTGCATCCTGGTTTCAAATGAAAGCCTATTGACATCCCTATCGGAGTGCGTTCCTAAGATGATCCCTAATTTACAAAACTGCAAGAATTTTAGGGGGTGTGAAAGTTCTACCGTCATCTGCGTAAATGTCGATGACGATTTTCTTCTCGAAGCACTGTCTCGCTCCAGGATTCAACTAATTGTGATCGACAACATTGAGAGACATGCAGACTTATGGACAAGAATGAGTCAAGATGGGCGTGTCAGAGATCACCATTGTGATATCCCGGTATCCCTTAGCACTGCTGAAATAGGTGTGAACATGGAGAGTCTCCTAAAAATGAATGATCAAGTGTCATTCCTGTGTGCATAGGTGTGTCTCTACTGTCTCTCCTTTGTATATATGCATCGGAACAAAAATCTCGGAAGGTACTCAGTATGTGGCATTCATTTCAACTAAGAATTGCGCTATATCATTAACCATACCGTAATTTAGGAGAGATCCTGGGGTTACCCCAGGCTGAACGGGGAACGAAGTTCGCGGGACAGAGGGGTTCACCCATTCCTTTTTGGCTTCGGGATGGATGAGACATCAAGCAAGGCAGGGTCTAGGTTCCGCGGGGTGAGGGGATGCGATTTTTACAGGGAGTTTGGTCCACTGTTAATCCTCGGAAGGGAAAGGGCGTAATGTTGAAAGCTTCCCACGTTTAGGGCTGAATCCGTTTAATACTAATTAAATACAACTCTAGGAAAACTTCTAATGAGTTCTCAAGTTGGGGTCCATTGGGCCCAACATATTTCAATGATTGAAAAAGTCTGCAATTATATTACTTTCAGGAAATCAATTTATATTTCATCTTGGCTACATTAATTCGTTAGTTATCTAATTAGCAATTATAACAAAGACATAGGATGTACATGTTTTGCAAACCAAATTAAAGGGGCCTGGGAAATTTTATTCTTCATTTTTGTCGTCCCCTCTTTTAGCCAGAGCGGTAATCCAAGATCAGGAAGAAAACTTTTGATGAAAATCCTCCATAATGGCTCTGGAAGGTAATTTCACAGTTTTCAAACCATGGGTGAGACGACTAGACTATCTCTAAATTTGACAGGAAATTAGAATGTATGTACTAACCATTTTGATACGTACCTTCTTGAGTTACGTGTTATTCCTGGTGTTCATATTGAAAATGCACAGTGTATTCCATAAATAGGTTTACTGAGGGAATTATAGCTATTTTCACTTAAATTAATTTAATTAATGTTTTGTGATGTTGTTTCTTGCTATTAATAGCCATTATTGTTGAAGGTTCCATTTCCATTCTAGGTGAAGGAAGACAGCAAGTTTAAAAATGTGTTCCTGACATTGAAATGAATCTCGTAGATGTTGATAGGAATTTCGTGTAGCTGAAAAAAACAGTCATATGATTTATAGAACACCCTGTTTATTGAATGCCTACTTTGTTTTCAACTTTATTCCCTATTATTGGTATGAAACCTTAAAAATGCGAATTTTACTTTGCTTTCATGAGACATTAACTGCTTCTATATCAAGAGATTGACATTCTGGAAGTGAATACAAAACATGTAATTAATTCGAATGTAATAAATACATAGTTATTTATTGACAAATTTATTCGCATTTTAAATTATAATTTGGAAATAACAAAAATCTTAGAAAGCATTGAGACATTTCCAGAAGTGATGTTATTAGTCATGTAGCCTCGATAAAAGTTACTCCGATGTATATATATTTTTCAACTCTTCAGAATGAAAAGGATGACGCCGCCTATCCCTCATATTTTTTCTTAAATAGGTTTTTCTGAAAGTTTTACCTTTTTTTCAAGTGTAAATTGCTACCATGCATCAAGGCTATTTTCCTGGGTTCCTTTGTGCACCCATTCCCATCCTGGGGAAGGTGGAATGCAAATAAGAGTGCCTGTGGCACCATTAAATCATAAACGCCATACTTTATTGCTTTTTCCCACTGAAGTTATCTGACTTACAATGGATTTTGATATTCTCTAGGCATATGATGATCGGTTTTTCCAATGTTTATACCAATTCCTGGAAAACCACCGATATCGATTGCTGGTATGACATCATCTGTGCCGCAAACCATCAGTAGGTTTATAAGCTGCCGATTCCAAAGGCCAAAAACATATCAAATGAATAATATTGTTTAAAAAAAAACGGTGACCGCGAAGTAGTTCATGACTCTCAACAGTAAAAGGACAAGAGGAGGACTATAACGATGCATCGATATCCCCATTGATATTTAGAGGCATCGTTGGCTTTATATCCCTTCACGAGGGTCAACCCCATCCCATTCTGATCACGGAAAGAAACCCCAACACGAAGAGAGGTTCGCGCCCAGTTTGGGGCAAGAAACGAGGGGCGTAAAATACCCACCCTATCGAGATGTGATGTGACTGAATCACCACAACGTGATGCATCGATGCACAATCGAAAGTTTGAATGGATGCAACTATATTTTCAAAACAGCTAACGTGACAGTACCGTGACAGTTTGTATTTCACGCAGGCTGTTGATGATTCCAAGATGAAGTGTGACGAGGTAAGTTAAATATTTAATTCTTTTCATAATGAATTTTCCAATGTTGAGATTTAGTTTCTTGAATCTCGAATTTCACCTACATATTTTTCTATATTTCTTGAAAAAGATGTAAGTTAGGTACATGTTATTCTACATCTCGATGTCCAGTGGCATCACTCTGCAGAGTGTCTTAGAGTTTCGGAATGATGGGCTCTGCGGCGGTGAAGGTCTACAACTTCCATGTATTGCCGTTGGAGATTTGGGAACACGTTGAAACCCTTTGGTCGCTCTTTACGATTATTTTGATGTTTTTGGCTGAATGATGTTCCCAGATCCCTGCAGACACGCCCTTTTGGCTTCAACATTAGGGTCGCCTTAGAATGTCAACTGTCCGGAATGTCTCAGAACGTCTCCGAATTCAATATTGTTGGAAGTCCCCATACAGTCATGAGTTAGCGGCAACGGCGACGTATCCAATTTACCCATCATTACGGAATTCTGAGACAAAATGGATTAGATGCAGTCCAAAAATATAACTCAAATATCTCCCTATGAGACTCTAATAAGAAAATGAATTCTTGGGAAATGTCTGCTTATGAGCATTTTTGTATTGTATATTAAGATAGTAAATATTGCGAATGTAACTTGAAAATAATCCAGGTTTTAAATGCCATACTCCAAGTGGCATGGTTGATTTCGCAAAATTAAGTCCCCGAATACTTTAACGAGAAGCACCTGTGTTTTCTGCGTCTTGCACTATTGACTACTTAATGAACCTTTTCCTTATACACAGCTTTCTCAAACAAGCTGCACTCTCTGCAAAGAGAATTCAGACCTCAGTCGTCTGCAAAGTTATGAAAGGAGAGGGAACCTGGACATTCAGAAACACAAAATAATCAATATGGGAGGAGATGAAATGAACAAGCCACAAGCCACAGAAGAATATGTGAAAAAATTATATCCTGAAGCCTACACTAAGGCCTACTCCTTACCCGATGAATACATCTTGAATGAACGGACTTTCCATCGCCTGATGAATATGGCCTCCACAAATGATGGAGGCATAGAAATGCCATCAGGTCATTTGGCCATAGCTATGGTGTTCAACAAACTCAAAGACGCATTCAGAGACGCGCCCTCCCTCACTGTCGTTGACTATGACTTCAGTCGCTCATTTTTCAGGGATGGTAGGCAAGAAAAGAAGAAATTCTCTGAGAACTTCAGAGCTCCTGAAGATCTAGCAACTGGTGCGCATGATGTTTTCGGTATTGGAATATCTGGGGAACACATATTGGGACTTTTCTTTCAAGTTAAGGTAGCAAAATTGAATCCAAGCCCCAGACATGTATCTGCATTGTTAAAGAAAGCCACGCAGCAACTTCTCCGTGACGTGAATATTTTCCTTACCATTTGCGGTGAATTCCTGTCTTCAAGTGTGAAATTAGCTGGTTTTGCCGCTATTCCATTCCTTTCCAAGAGGGATTTGCATAATTTAATCACGTGTGGAGCTTGCAGGACACGAATTCTCAATTCAGACGACTTGCATTCTTCAGGTGGCTTCAGGGGATTTTTGAGAAAACAAGGGATTGTGCTGGATAAACCTGATCATCACGAACCCGAATCAACAACTATGAGGACTTTCAAAAACATTTTTGACTTATACGTTTGTGTTGCATCAGCTTGGAATCTCCCGCGCAATCCCACTGAGTTGTTCACAATGTGCAAGAAACAAATGTCCCAGCTCAGGAAGATTCGCACTCCTCAACAGAGGCAACTAGTGATGAGTGAAGAACAGTTCATCTTCATAGGGGGGGGCAATGGGACTGGAAAAACGGAGATCCTCATGGATAGAGCCTTGAAATGGGCAAATACAGGTGAAGTTTTGTTTATCGATTTCTCAGGAGGACGTCAAACAAAGGAAATTCGACAGAGGATACATGAGCGTATCATGGGAGGCGAAGGTGAGATGCTGCTATGCTTGGATAGTGTACTGCATAAGTATCATTTAGATTCCACATTAGATTAGCTCTGTCCAGTGATACATGTTTGCCTTCAGCAAGTGGGACCCCGTTTTTTTACAATAGTGAAACTTTCATTCGGTTTAGGTGCTTCAACAATGAATGGAATTTTATCACAAAAATGCTTGGTAATTGGGAGGTGGGATATACTCTACATGGTCTGATCAATAGACGATGAAGCAGAGGTTTACGAGGCAGGTCGGAAATTGCTGCACAGCGAAGACGTGTTAGCGATTCCAAAATACTACTATGAGCAATACTTCCAGCCGCTTAAGAAACATCGGAAAGTTTTTGTAGATGCCGAGGATTCCTTAAAAGGAGATGACTATCATAAGCCAGAAAGAGTCACCACAAGGTCATTAAAAATTAAGTCTCGGAATTTCAACGTATTCTGCAAGACAGCTTGCTGCATGATTGCTATGCAAATACGAGGGGCAGTCAAATGAAACGTAGCGGAAGCCTGTGATGTAATACAGGAGCGCTGACCAGTGGTCATCGTTGGTGGGGTGGTAGCCCTGCTTGTCGGCTTTTTTGGAGACCTCAAGAAGAATCTGAAAGGCAGGAAATTTCCGTCTGACGCAGCGGTGCAGGAGGCTGTTTGCGAGTGGGTTCGATCCCAGCCCAAGGAATTTTTTGAACAGGGCATCCGTCGTCTGGCTTCACAATGGAAGAAGTGCCTTGCCAACCATGGTGATTATTAACATTTAAGTTGATTTCAATGTCTGAAATTTTCATCCGCTACGTTTCATTTGACTGCCCCTCGTAGAAGCAACTTCCCCTATATCTATAAGCCATATAAAGGGGGTTCCCACTTATCCCAGGCAACTACAATAAATATCCGGAATTGTATTTGCAGATGTCATGGTATTGGATGGCGGGGAAGAAAATATCAAAGAAGAGCTAAAGGACTTGTGTAACTTCCTAAAGGAGCGGGGGAAAGGGAAACACGTTTTCCTGGACGAAATCCCCATTACTTTCGGCTTTCGAGGTTGCCAAGATGAAGCGAATCTATCTAAGCACTGGGAAGGGATAATCAGCAACCTGAAGCAGCATGTCAAGACCCTCACCCTCGCATTTCGTCCCCATGATTCCTCCTACACACGTGTCATTGACCTGCGAGGCATACAGATTCCAAATGTCCATGTCTTGTGTGCCGTCCAAGGCAAAACACGCAATGTGGTGAACTTGGTGATGGCTCTTGAGAGTTATTCACGCAGAAAGTTCTTTTGCGATCAACCCAGTCTTAAGGACATGGATTTCGGCCAACCTAAGAAAGAGGTTCTGCCCAAATTGCATGTCATCCTTACATGTCATGATTTCCATGATGTATGCCAGTTTCAAGCGTCCTGTGAAGTTGTGAGATCTTCACATGCCATTTTCTCGTTGGTGCAGGATCATTCAGGGAAGTCAGAAAAGCCTATTTATGCAGTAGTGGACAGTATGGAGCGCCGAAACCGTTTCGTGAATATCCTTTCAAGTATGGACGACACTAGCGTCATTTTCATTGACAAGGATGGAACTTTCAGGAAGACCTCCGGTCTCAAAACCCCCCCCGTGGTGATTGTGACTGGTGAGCAGTTTCTTGGACATCATACAGACAACACCATCATCATTCTGGATTTGCCTAAATGCAAGTGGAGTAACTATACCCGTATGGTATCCTCATGGGAAGAAAATATCATGATTGTTGGGGAGAAAGAAAGCCTTCAGAAGTATTGCGAGATCGAGATTGGTAACAAACTGCAAGAAGACCCAGAGGGAAAAAAGGAGGAGCTGAGGCATGAAATTAGGAAGGCAGAGGATATGCAGGAGGCGGAAATGGTACACCTGGATGAGAAGTTGTACCAAAGTATAGACTTTTCTTTAAATGTCGATTTTAAATGTATTCCCTTGAGTAAGTCTTCACGGAAGTGCACGATAATCCTAGGGCCAGCTTCTTCGGGGAAAAGCATGATGTTGCTTGAAAGCATGAAGCTACTTTCACTCCATGGCCAGGGTAAGACTAAATGTGTCCTGATTCATTTAGGAAGTATCCTGAGTTACAAAGTTTCGCGTGATTATCTCAAAAAGCACCTTAAAGAAGCAGACATTGTTCGATCGGAAGAACTGACTTTAGGTCAGATTATTAAGCACAATATTGTGGAGGAAATGAAGCAGCGGTATCGTGACTCCATCATCCACGTTCACGTCGACGATTATTCAATCCATGCTATGGAGACAAAGGAGGAGATTCAGAGTTGGACTGAGACCCTAGAAGTCCTGGTGAAGGACCCGAAGATGACCCTTACCATTGTTCTCCAGCCCCATTCGAGAGGCGCTCGGGGCATCGATGTATATATGCTGACGTCAATTTTAAAGATCCGCTATGAAGCAACAACAATAACACTTCCCATATCAAAATGGACTCTTTTCAGAAGTACGAGCCCAACATTTCTGTCGCACATTTCCAGGAATGAAACCAACATTCCCTTGGGACTTGAGGTAAGGAGCCTCCTCACAGCCTCCCGCCCAGCTGGCCTTGTTCATGGACCTAAACCGAAGTACATTAAATATAAATGTACCCGGAGTCACATGGGAATGTTGTGCAAGGATCAGGAACTATGTGAACGTGTTCTGGGTGTACACGTTTGTTTCCACTCCGTCTTGAAGCAAAACATGAGTGGAGACATCGTGTACGTCTTTGTATCAGACAACACACTTATGGCGACTCTGGAAGAAAACACTCCTGACCATGCCAGAAAAGTGCTGACGTTTTCCCACCCAGAAAAATGTCGAGGATCTACAGCCGATATCATCGTTACAGTGAATGTGGAAGACATTTGGCTGCTAGAAAGCATCTCCAGAGCGACAACCCAAATTTTCATCATTGACACCTTACCAAGTCATCAACAGATGTGGAATGAGATGCAAGAAGAGGGACATTTGGAGGTCAAGGTAGCGACAACCGACGATAACGATATGGAAAAAGACGCTCTCTTAAGTCTGGTTGAAGAAATGGAGGTTCTTCAGGTGAGCTATTTCTCTTCTTCCACCACGTTGCAGATAGATTGTGCTTTGAGTACAAGGTGGCCCAGATCAAATGTAACAAACAAAATTGCAATTTTCTTAGAAACATCATGTTTCATTGATATGAAATTTGCACAGAATGTTTCTGGCATAATGAACGAGACGTAACGTAAATTTCACTCGAAGTGCTCACCTTTGGCCTTAATTATGGGCATCAACCGCTTCTCGAAGTTGTTGACGCTGTTCCTCACAACTTTCTTCGAAATTACGCCCTAAATACCGAACCAAATCTTGACTGAGATGATCCAGACTGTGGTGGGAATCTATTTCAGGAAGAGCGGAAAGGGGGCGTTTCCATGGTTGGAATAGTAGTGGGGGTTGAAGGTCCATAGACGAGGTTTTTAGATTTCTTGTAATTCTGATAAATGCCATCTAAAGTTGGCACTGCTTTCATTTCCAGACCTGATGCAGCAGAAATGCATGTGGGTTCAATTGCATTTCTCGGGATGAGCATCGAAAACGGATGATTTAAAGTAAAATGCGTTAGTAATTTCCTTAGATCGCAGAGCGCCGAAGACGCGTCTACTTAGATTATAATTTCAATTGTTTGCCAGATGTATCAATGTGACTGCGATACAGGAAAACAATGCGAGTTTTGATTAACTATCTCGCTCATCAGCTTCCTTGCATTATTCGTAAGCGCTTTCAAGGGATTGTAGGTGATGTAAGCAATGACGAGAGAGCACACCATTCTGGGATACTGAAATTCTGCATTTTGGCAGATGGACCCCCATGAGGAAACTGTAGTGATAGACTTCGTTGCGGAGCCCGTGTGAACGCATGTGACGACGAAATGACTAATCGCACGCATTTCATCATGGCCGCTTGAAATTGATAAATAAATTGATAAATAAATTGATAAATAAATTGATAAATAAATTGATAAATAAATTGATAAATAAATTGATAAATAAATTGATAAATAAATTGATAAATAAATTGATAAATAAATTGATAAATAAATTGATAAATAAATTAATAAATAAATTGATAAATAAATTGATAAATAAATTGATAAATAAATTGATAAATAAATTGATGAATAAATTGATAAATAAATTGATAAATAATTGGATAATTCGATAAATAATTGGATAATTCGATAAATAATTGGATAATTCGATAAATAATTGGATAATTCGATAAATTGGATAATTCGATAAATAATTGGATAATTCGATAAATAATTGGATAATTCGATAAATAATTGGATAATTCGATAAATATTAGGATAATTCGATAAACAATTAGATAATTCGATAAATAATTGGATAATTCGATAAATAATTGGATAATTCGATAAATAACTGGATAATTCGATAAATAACTGGATAATTCGATAAATAATAGGATAATTCGATAAATAATTGGATTCTCGGCAGCAGGCGGGAGGCACTGCATTCAGCGATGCCACCGTTCTCTTTCGAGTATCACGGCAACTCTCGTTTACTTGTTCATCCGAATGATGGCGAGTAGAGACCGAATCTCCAATTTTTAATGAACGTTTCTTCTCCTTCCTTTCGATTTGCATATTTCCTTTCGCAAAGGCACATCCTTGGACGATACGGAAGATTGCTGTTGAAATTGCAAGTTCATATCTCGAAGCGTATAACCTGTAGAGCTCTCACACAAAAACATTTGTCGCTCGGCCTAGCTACCCAAGCAGCATGTTCACATAAACATGATCTCAATTTTTTGCAAACAATGTAAATTTCTTGCGATTGCCATGAAAATGACATCACGTTAACGTAAAATTTACGTTCCTATATTTACGTCACCAAAGTGTACGTGTATTTTACATCAACTAGACGTCACTCCATCTGACGTGAAGTATATGATATCAGGTTCATGAAAAATTAACATCACACCATCCATATGAAACTTTAGCTGACCATCCTGCAGTTGCAGTACCAAGATTCCTCACTAGATGGAACCCTTGTTCCCTGCATCCTACAATTACTATTAAGTACTGGTTTTCCTGATATAGTACCAGGTTTTATTACCATCCTTTTACTTTTTATTATGCAATCCTTGAATATATATATGGAAAACATGAAATTATAATATATTTTTTTATAATATATGACTCAGGGAATCATTAAATGCTGAAGTTAAGATTTTTATTACAGCAGTGCACGGAATTAGGGAAGAGTAGAATCCCAACCCCACAAGTACTACATCTTCTCTATCCTAAAAGGAAGAGAGCTCCCTTGAACATCTACTCCTCCTCCCGAGGTTCCAGTACGGGAGGTGGAAGCAGTAGGTCACTTTGGTACTCTTGAGTGCTGGTGAGAATGAGTACTCGTGTACTCGTCCAACCACCCTAGAGTTCTGAAGAACGTAAAGGAAGAGGAGGTTCGGTATATCAATGGGACTGATTGACTCTTTAAATACGCATGAATGCCAGGCGAAAATTAACATAAATCTTACGCAAAATGAATGTAAACATGCTGTTTGGAATGCAAACGGGAATGTCAATTTTACGTAAAATTTACGTTAATTTTATATCACCGTTTACGTATCACAGAGGTGACATTTCTGCAAACATGTTGACATCTTCTTGACAATGGTTTGCGTAAAAATGATATAAAATGGACAAAATCTTTACATTCATTTTACGTAAAATTAACATAAACATGCTGTTTGGGTAGCGGTCAGGATTGCGCTATTTCAAAATTCTCCGTAAAAATATTAATGCTGCTATTCTGAGCTGATGTTGGCAATTTCTACCAACTTCAAAGAAGCAATTATACCAGTCACAGCCCAAATTTAGCCTACATCCAGGTTCGAGATTCTTGTCAATACTTTTCGTTTTCTCATATGGATCGCGTCAGGCGCGAACATCTTGTGATCAGAAAGACGTTCACTTAACTGCTGCTGATGAAAATTACGGAAAAAATGAAGGGCATGGTGTTCGTTTCACGTATGTCATCCCGCTGAAATAATTTTGCAGGCAAAACTGCACTTGGATTGACTTTGATACTTTTAGAGGGAACATTGTCGCTTGAACGATACGAAATGGAAAAAAAAAACCGTGTAAGGACTATTTCTTTAGACGATAAATTTTCTCTCATAACCGATAGGTTTTTCTTGTTTTCGTGCGTATCGCCAGCCGCATCTTTAGCCCCGCTTTCAGAAGTTCTGTCCCTCGGAATTTCAGTCATCGGCCACACTTTAGTAAGAACTGGCTATCCGAAGACGCACATCTTGAAACGGTATTGATTTTTCCGATTTTTGTCCGACTACCTATGTTTAATCATATACAAACTGAACTGATATACGTCTAGTGTTCACTAGGGAGGGCGTTTAGTATTATTGTGTGCAACCATGCCACCAAGTTCAGTTCACCAGTCGAGATAACATTCTCTTAAGACATAAAATCATTTTCCCGGGAATATCCATAACTGCTCAATTTTTGCGTTCATCATTTTCCGGAAGATATAATCCCCCTCATGTCATTCACATTCATGGAGTATCCTGCTTACATGCGAAATATGCTCAAATTGACAATTGGCCAAAGTGGAAATAAAACCATATAGAATCTTCCAACATGGAACATTTACAATATTCTCTTTTGCAACTCTGGATACCTCTGCTAGATTTGAATATTCCGTGAGGAATGTCGTCTGTCCATCAAAAGGAAGTTTTAAAGAAAAATGTGGTCTAGGAAAATATGTTATTGTAATGGGTAACATGGGTACATGCTGCATGGAGAGCCAGATATTGCACGGATGGTGCGTGTTACCTTAACAAAAATATCATCATTTTGCCCCTGAAACATGTTTTCTGATATCAATAGAATTGAACAATTTTTTCCTTAGTATGAACTGAAACATACCTATTTGCGCAACTTTCAGGTCGATATATGTGATGCTCACGTGAGTAACAACGGTTGCAGCGAGAGGGGATGTCAATCTCTGCACATTTGTCCAAAATTTATGTTTGGACTATGCGAAGATGAAACATGCGAGATAGACCATGACATCGACACATATCACAACAAAATAGTCCTCAGGGACAGTAATATAGGAATAAAAAATGTCAAGTAGTTGTGACCACTTCATTCGAAATTTTAGCAAATAATCAATGGCCAAAATATAAACATACTTGAAACCTGTTCAATTGACTTGTACGTACAGTATCAAATTTTCGGGAGTTCCTCTGATAAAAATGTAAAGTCGTTTCCTATATTCATGCCATCCAGTTGCATATTTTATCTAGGGTTTTTCAAGTTATACACGAGCATACATATCTCCGTAGTTTTAAGAGGAAATAAAAGATTTATGAAATATTACTTCATAATAAAACATGTTCCCATGCCATCCTGGGCGTGTGGACATTTTCGAAAAATCACATATGTAGGTTAAATCTGGAAAAGGACGTCAGTAAGGTGGCTACCATCGCGCCAGGCACATTTTCACCCAGGGTCCTCTACATCATGCATGACAGGTTGCAACATCGCGACAAGTAAAGCGGTGACTTTTTCCCATATACGATATTCAAAAGCCTTCAAGGCTGCAGGGCGTGTGTTGCACACCTAGCTTTTAAGATATCCCATGCAAAACAAATTAGGAGGTGTTAGGTCCGGCGACCGCGAGGACATTAAGATCCCCATATCTGGATATCACGTGCACAGGAAAGATTCTGGGGAGGACATTCATGCTCATCCGGGCAGTGTGGGCTATCGTCCCATCCTGCTGGAACTGAATTCCAGGAGGAAGGCTACGTCGACAAATCTCCATGTCTAGAAACGACTGCAACATTTGAATGTAGCGAGCAGCACGGATGGTGATCGTGTCGCCGTCGTCGTCCTATAAGCAGTACAGGCCGATCACTCCGAGGACCCAGGAACCTTGGAGGTTTTGGAAAATTTAAAACGGGAGAAAGTAGCCGCTGCGCCTGTCGCGATGTTGCAGCGTGTCAAGCGGGAAGTATTGGACTGCGCGTGAGAATGTTTCGAACGCCACATTAGCGACGTCATCTTCCAGTAGTGACCTACCGATGTAATTGTCCTAGAATTTCCACATTCCCAGGCTGCCATGGGATATACATCAGTACTAGCGTGTTCGTTTGCCCTTCGGGCAAACAAACTCGCTATGGTCGCGCCTGCGGCGCTCCATTACCTTGGTTAAAGATTAATTCATTTATTCCTTGCGAAATGGGAAAGCCATATTTAAAGAACGTCCTCCATCAAACAGGTACTTCTGAGGGAAGTTTAAATGTTCTGTCTCTGTTTCGTTGGATCGAATAAAAAAGTCAGGCAAATGGGACTTTAAAAAACTGCTCTGATGGGTTTTAACGAAAATTCTTCTAATTCTGAAATGTAGACTCAGGGAACTCCATGCCACCCAGTTTCAGCCTTATGCGTTTTCTCCTTCTTGCAGGCGGTAAAAAAAATGTATACTGGCATGATAATTATGTCATGTCTCATTTTCCATATTTGTAATATCATGCAAACCTTTTCTTTTTTGGTAAGGAGTTTGGAAGAGTGAAGCAAGAGGTTCATCTGGCTCAGAAAATGAAGGAGCTTTGTGAATCACAAGATGGATACATATATGAACTACAGTCAAAGAAAACGAAGGGGGACTTTCAGAATCGCGTGCAAAAACAGGAGATCGGCAACAGAAGACCTGAGGACGGAGTAGGAAAGGTTCTCATGCTCGTCGGAGCCACAGGGGCAGGTATGGTTAATTTACAAAAATTTTTTGTTTAAACGTACATATGTAAAAAAAATTGCAGATTTTCCTGCTTGAAGGAAAGAGTACCCTCATCCATGGATTCGCGAATTACGCCTATGGAGTGAATTGGACCGACGATTTCCGCTTCAAACTGGCTGTTGACGAGGAAAAAACAGTGAAGTCTGAAGCCCATAGTCAGACCAAGTGGATCTCAGCATATGTTCTAACTAAGCAGCAAGGAATGGCTTTTCCCTACACCTTGACAGTCATTGACACTCCAGGATTTGGCGATACTGAAGGAATAAAAAAAGATGATGAGGTGAAGAATCAGATCCGGGAGTTCTTCTCTCATGACGGACACTTGGGAGTTGACCAACTTGATGGAATTGGCTTCGTAGTCCAATCCTCCCAAGCCAGGCTCACGCTCTCACAAAAGTACGTGTTTGATTGTGTACTGTCAATGTTTGGAATCGATGTGAAAGACAACATTTTCCTGCTGGCAACTTTTGCGGATAACCAGACGCCACCAGTGATGAGCGCCGTAAAAGAAGCAAACATTCCATGCCGAAAGATGTTCAAATTTAACAATTCCGCTTTATTTGCTCAAAACAAAGAAGACGAATTTGGTAAAGCATATTGGAAAATGGGAAGTAAAAGCTTCAAAGAATTCTTTCTGGAATTTGAAAGTACCAATGCAGTGAGCCTGACGTTAACGAAGGAAGTTTTGATTGAGCGGCGCGCCTTGGAGGAAACTCTCCAGAGCATAAAGTCTCAATTAGATGCAGGTATAGTAATATATTTAATGCCTTTGTTCCCCCTTATTCAACTATTTTCTAATGTTGTATTTGGTCATTAGCTCTGGATCGATTGGAATTATTGAGGGAAGCTCATGCAGCAGTGAGACATCACGGAGGGCAGGAGTCGCAAGTATATGCAAGCTCGGTCTCTTCAGAGGAAGAGGAAGAAGAGGAAGACAATTCCAGAGCCAGATGTTCCCATCCAAATCGTACGATCCATTCGTACGATGAACATGTTCTTAAAAAACTAACGAAAGGCTTCAATCAAAATAGAGAATTAGTTTTACAACTAACAAAGCAAGCGCATGCACGCAAGCAGAGGCTTGATGAAATAGCTTTGAAGCTCGACCCTTTGGAATTCACAGAATACATCGATATATTGATATCTAATGAGAAATATGACAATCAACCTGGCAGCAGCCAGAGGATCAAGTATCTTCATGCAGCACGCGAGAAAGCGGAATTTGCGACAGAACTTCTTCAGAGCATCAACCCATCCGATGTGCTTGATGAACTGGATATTGGTAATTTTGATCCGCCAAACTCAGCAGATTCTTATCATGAGCCTGAAAAATGGTGGGACAAATTATGGACATTACTTCCGGGCTCTCGCAGGAAGAAATAAATGTAAAGTACATTTTTTGTCAGAAAATATTAATTTTCGTGGAGGGACATATTACATCACTCCATATTCTAATTGATTTAAGCATGACTTCATAGTCGTTGAATCTTGGAGCTTGGAATCAGCAGCTGAAAACTTAGCAAAAATGAGGTTATCCGAGCCAGCAATAATATCCACATATGCTTTAAAACGCAAAAAATTATTTCATATCGTTGCATGTAGTCGAGAAAGAGAAAATGATTTTGCTTTTTTTGATACTTGCAACACAATAACAATATTACTTATGACAGGCATCAAGAAAACTAAATCCCTCCAAAAGCAGACTGAAGCCCTCTTTTATTATCGACTTTCAAAAGGGCACTCTACAGATCTGTGGGACAAAATGCCCACAAACTTTAGGGTTCCCTCATAAAAAAAGGCGCTCTTCAAGTAATATTTGAATCGCGGTTTCATCGTCATATGCAACATATGAAGAACAAAGATTTCAATGGGGTCGAACTTGAGAGTTTCTCTCATGGAACAATTGTATTTTCCCATCGTTGTTGTTTGGAGCAAGAAACCAATGGTCACCTCATCGTTCGGGTAATACAGTGAATGCTAATGAAACGCATGTCGGTATTAAGTAAAGCTTGGATTTCACTCATCATTTTTTTCCTGTCTTCTTCAATCGTTTATGGAAAGGATGACTCAGACATTGCAGACATGAATCTACAATGTTATCCTTCAAATACATGCTGAGACAGTTTGAGCTTCTCGCACAGTAATATACTGTACGTGGTAAATGCAATATTGAGAATGCACGAAATCACGTTTAATAAAATGCATATCTTATGTTTGGGGTCATTCCACGCCAAATCGACCAGTGAGTGAGCTCGACTAATTCGGATTTGACGAAAATCGGCTTTCACGTAGGGAAATCGACGAGAAAATAACATATATAATCAAATGATTACCTCACCCACAGATCTCCAGATATATAGTGAGGGACAAATCTACCTCAATGTCTCGCACAGTTCCATTTGACTCATAACACGAGGATGATGCGTTCCATTTAATTCAAATTTTAGTCAACCTCACTCCTAATTCCGTGCTTTTTATTGGTGCCATTCTCTTGTGAATTGAACTTTCATTGGCCCAGCTGCAGCTGTTCAAATCCAACCAGATCATTCACACAATTTGTTTGTCCCTCACACTCAGGCATACGGAAAGCGAATTGATTTATTTTTAGCGGATTCTCATGTAATATTCAACATTGCCTGGACCCATCTGGGCATGCTATCAATCACGTCCAAGCATCCCTCAACTGAAATGGCGTCCCATTCGATCTTAACCTGCTCCCACAACTGATAAATGCAGGCTGAATCATTTTCGTACCCCCACCTACCTCCGTTTCCAGTGTTGCCACATTTTTTCTATTGGATTGAGGTCTAGCGACTAATCTGAACATTCTAGTTCTTCGATTCCGTGGTTCTATGACGATTGGGGGTCCATACGCTGGGTGTGCTTCGGACCATTGTCCTGCTATATACAGCTTGGCATCAATTCTTACTACTATTTCCCAGCCATTCCAACTCCTTTGGCCGTGATACATCCCGAAAGCATCAGGTTGCCTCGACCATATCTCAACCACATACCGCTCTGTGAGGGCCTGGCTGAGCTGTCTCCCCGTCCATCACGCAGCAAACAGAACATGAAGGACTGGAAACGTATACTTCGGTCAATTGAGACCAAAATTATATCATAAGGTTTGAGTGGCGTAATCTATATAATAAATTCTACTGTGGTCCGTGATGGCGGCGTCGGCGGTGGTCCGTGACATGTTTAGTCTACAAAAAGTTTTTATTTTCAGATCTAGGCTACCCTTCATTTTCTCTCAGCGCAAGCCTACAGGAAGTTAACACCTCCATGTATAGCCTGCCATTCACCTTCCTTTAGCGTTAATTCCACATTTCCTCAGCATTTGCTATGCTCCATTTCATCGTTTCTCTTCATTCATGTTTCAACTTAGAAAAACCTGATTGAAACATGAATTCTGAGTAGGGTAAGTGCTGCGAATGTCGGCACTGGGGGTAATCTCGGCACTTTGCGATCGTCAGCCTTCTTCTTCCACTACCCGTTCCTGTAGGAAAGGTGAGAAATATATTCTCAGATGGTGGAACTAATGTTGTTCATATGTGCTGGGAACAGTCATATTCGCTGTTGTAGTTTTCTCGCAGTGGCTGCCTTCTCTACGGGCACTCCGAAAATCCTGAAAGTCCTTATGGTTTTGCTAAGTTCATCATGCTATTCCTACATTTAATGTATGATTGTATTTATTAATTATTGTATTTATTTACACATTCTGGTCATTCTCTTCCACACGAGGTAGGGTTTTCATTAGTTAGTTTTATTCATTTTGGAGTTCATTGTAAATTACATTGATACTTAGGGGTGCCGAGATTCCCGACAGGTAGGTGCCGACTATACCAGCAAGTGTGCCGAGATTCCCAACATCCGACCCAACTTCACCTTTGACCCAAGCCCTCAATGAGGAATAGCTCATGGCACTCGAAGTGTATGGTACAAGGCGTATATAATAGAGGTATGACCTGACCCAACGTGAACAAGGAAGCTCCATTACAGAAACTACCAGGCAAGGTTGAAATGAAAATTTTCCTTAGAGTGCCGACATTCGCAACACTCACCCTAGCAAGAAGCCACCTCAATTTCGAACCCTGCGCGGAGGGTCGTGATGTCCACACAGCAGCGTAAAACCGTCAATGCAAGGAGACGCGATCAGCGAACTTCTATGGCACTACGACGTCAAAGCGAACGCGAGCAGCGAACTGCCATGACCCACGATCAAGATTCAAGATAGTGATGAGATCAAGATACGATCAAGAGGCGATTTCGCCCATTTCGATATCACGTGTCGAGGTCAAGCGTTCCTTAATTTTTGGGTTGGCCAAACCCTCTTAAAGCTAAATATTTTGTATTTTTGTTTTATTTGTTTTTTTTTTTTGTTTTTTGACTATCCTAGTTTACTGTCTAGTACCTATCAACGTGAGGAGGTCAACACTAAACGACGTCAACGGCGGGCAGTCATGTCTCAGGAACAAAATGAGGAAGCCAATGTTCAACGAAGTCAACTGCGGACTGCTATGCCTCAAGAACAGCTTCAAGAAGCAATTACCCGACGACGTCAACAAGAACGTGACGTACGAACTGCCATACCCCAAGAATAGCGTGAAGAGGCTGACGCCTTTGGGCGTCAACGACGCGCGCTCAGCCTCTCCATAACTCCTTCAGATCTGCAGCAGGAGATCTTTAGAGAAGATATTCGACAATGACGATTTCTACAACACTGAAAATAATCGGATATATCCAGCGGACCGTGCCGAAACCGGTAAGAAGCGTGGCATCAAGCAGAAACAGAAATTTCCTTAGAAGATCATGGTCTGGTTCCATGCCTGGTTCAAGAGGGTGACACCGCTGGTCATCGAGAAAGGGTCGGTCGATCACGATTGATACATGCGTGAAGTGCTTCCGGTGGCCCTCAAATACGGCAAGGAGGCCTATGGTGATGACTGGACCGTCCAACAAGATGATGCGAAGCAACACACTCATTAACTGTCAAAACAATGGCGTCGAGACTATTTCCCACCTTTTATGAACAAGGACCATTGGCCACCGAACAGTCCCGATGAACCCCTTGAACTACTCGATCTGTGAAGAACTGGTTCATATCATCAAGTGGGATTATGTGACGTCGAAAGGGACTCTCATGGACGAACTGAAACGGGTTGTGAAGAGGATTCGCCTGGAAATCGTGTTGAAAGTTGTTCTCATGGAAGCAATCTCTTACTTCGTGCCAAAAAAATGGCGGTGATTATTTGTATAATCACAAGCACGCGGTTTGTGAAGAATTGAATAGAGAACCTTTCTGAAAGGTGTTCAACTCGAAGCGACGAAAAATGGACGATATATTCACGGAATACCAACACCGCCATTTATCCTGCCGCACCCGTAAGATGGCTTAAGTTTAACGTGAGCAGCAAGAATTTCCCTGAATCTGTTGTTACGACCAAGCCGTTCCACCAAATGAGCTGAAATTTTGGTTTTGAATAGAGTTATGTCTGTTAGAAGAATCCTAAAAATGAAAATTATATTGCACTGATATTCGAGGCGAAAAGAAAGTACAAAAGACTGCAAATTATCTTGAGTGGCAACATCTGTACCCTGAGTGGCAAGGGAACTTGACCAAAAGGGGCATGTCAAAACGCCAATATACCTTGCCTCAGTATAGCGAAGAATAGATACATACATATTGCGAATAATTAAGTTGTACTTCTCTTGAAGAGTTTTGAACTATTTAAAATAAAATTAGTTCAAAACTTTTAAATGAAATATAAATTTTCGTCCAAAAGTACTCGTTAGCAAGCCCTGGGGGGTGGGTAGCTAGCTAGGCATGAGGAATTATCGTGGCCAAGTTATGATACGTATTATAGATTGTACACCATTTTCTGCGGGCCATTTCTGCTTCAGCACTGCATTAATTTTACCGACCATTGGTATTTTGCTATTTTGTAAGCATATGTTGAAACATTTGGAACGGTTTGGCCAATAGTGGCAGCACACTTGGCATGAATATGAACTTCAGGCCAGTCCTCTTTTTCAGTAAGATCTCACGAAGGAAGTTCAATAGATTTTGGCATCATCTTTCACTTCCTTAATAGGGAGAGCTATCGACATATATAATACGCAGTTTACCGAATTATCTAACCAATAAAAAGGAATCGGGTGAAGCTGAGAGTGGTCTCATATTGATTGTCTAAAACCTTTCACAAAAATATGTGTTTGATTAATTAAAAAGTTAATTACATTATTTGGTTGATGATACCTGTTAAGTGCTCTCTCTTGGATCGACCAGGCAGTCTCTTCGATCTCAACGATGCCTTTTACATCTGATTGCAAATGACATTTTTTTACCGCTAATTAAAATTATCCATGAGGGAAAGACTTCCGACTCGCTGAATGGTGCATGTGATATATCAATCGCAAGCTCTTGAGTAGATTGCGTTAGTGCGTATTTTAACTGCGAAATATGAGAAAATAAGTAGTCATTTTAATGGTAGTAACGTTGAACGAAGGGTGACACTGCTCGTTTACGTTGGAACAGAAACTCTTATGAGTGGTGATAGGCAAGGCAATTGTTTTTCCTCGGTTTGGTGGTGTATTGGTTTCGCCTTGGACCGAGAGAAAGGAGGCCTGGGTTCAAGTCCCGGAAACTTTTTTTTTCCCAGTCCCGTCAGTCTCCCCTACCTTTCGGTGCTCATGACATAAGCACCAAATAGAAACTCAACAATCAAACTTTTTCACGCAGTGTCTTTGTGTTTTAGCTATATACCCTAACTAAATAACCTTAGAGAAAACAGGAAGAAGGCACATCAAGCAAGCCGCATTCATTCAATGTTTGGCCGCACGGGCGAGAAAGTCAGCCTAATTTGGGGGATGATGGAGCAGTTGCATTAGAAAATAATCGTGGCCAAAAGTCGCAACCCTTTCCTAACCCAACTGACCCATCATTTCCCAAAACAGGTTGACTTTCTCACTCTTTGGCCTTTGACCGAACTGGAGGAAAGGAAATGGAGGTCTACTAACCGTGCCAGCGCGATAATGGGCCTCAACAGGACACCGAAGACGAGACCAGAAGTGTGTAAGAAAACCTGACTCGAGTACAATGCCCATGCCTGGGAAGGACATAGCATAGCTGGCAGATGCAATGGCCCGGGCGGGGGACCGAGCACATTACCTCAACACATACCTCAACTCTCTCAGCTGAAACATATATAACTGTAACATATTCCTACAGTATTTTCATGTTATATATATATTGCAACATTCTACCCTTTTGGAAGTCATCCCAACCCGGAATTCTTCATGTCTGTTAAAAATTTCTTAAATCCGAAGTGGATCCCGTATACGAGGTTGCCATCTACCTACATACGAATAGCCGACGTCCACTGTAGGCTGGCCCAAAAAAATGTTATATGCTAATTTACTATTTAATTAAAACGCTATTTATTTTTTTCTCCCCTATGCTACTTCCTTAGTGCTCTCTCTTGGATCGGACTACGCAGTCTCTTGGATCTCAGCGATGTCCTTTACAACATTTACATTACCATTGAATTTATTTTACTGCTAATTAAAATTGCTAATTTCCTAAACTGCTAATTAAAAAAAAGTATTTCCCTTAAGGGAAATACAAAGTGGACCACCCGTCAAACGGTACATGTGATATATCAATCGGAAGGTCTAGATGAGTGTAATGCGTTGGTGCATATCTTAACAGTGAGAAATATAAGAAATAAATTGTAATTTTTATGTTAAAAGTGTGGGTTTTAGGCGAGACACGTATGGGGTAGCGTAGGCGAGCACGTTCAACATAAGGGTAGACCCTTTGAACGGAAGGGTGAGAGCTCCCATTACCGTTGGAACAGAAAGCCTTATGCCATGTATTCTCCCCTAAAATAAAAACTCAATCACCTGGATACTAGACACTCCTACTGTTTCACCCATGCATTTAGGCTTTCCTCATGAAAGAAAACGAGCCGCAAAGAAGACAGAATGAACATAGATGAAGCGAGCGGCATTCCTTCGCGAGAAAATGTGAACGTATTTTGTAGGATGATGTGTCAGTTGGATGAGAAAATCATCGCGGCCAAAGACCGCTACCCTTACTGACTCTACTGAACCATCATTCCACAGAATGTTGCCTTTCTCATTCTTTGGCCTTTCCCCGAACTTGAGAAATAAATGTTTGGGGTCCACTAAACGTGCCAGCGCCATGAAGGGCCTCACCAGAAAGCGAAGGTTTCGAGTCAAATTTGCTTACGCCCAAAAGGGCGTGAGCAAACTGGACTCGAGTATAGTGCGCATGCACGGGAAGGTAGGAGCACAGCCAGCAGACGCAATGGCATGTGCGAGGCGTTTCACATTCTGCCTCCGGAATGACCACGTAGAATATAACCATCATATCAGCAAATTAATATTATACGCTAAAACCTCAACTCTTTCGGCTGAAACATTTATCCCTGTAACATATGTATACAGTATTTTTATGTGCAACATTTCATATCATGCAACATTTTGCGGATAGTCCACTCCACCATAGGTCCCTACGTTCCGTCAGCCACTGTAAGCGGATGACGAAAAAAACCCTCTGATAACGTATTCGCCTGCACCAAACAAGAAGCGTGATTGCCAACCGAGCTGCCCGCCTAATTCGCATGTCAGATTGATCCAATAGAGTTTACGCGCATCCCGTGCCTAGCTCAAACTCATCCCATTTATCCAATGCCTGGGTGTTCGAAACGTCAACTACGTGCCTCACTTGAATGCCACAAGGCAGATATGCCTGAGAATGTCCATGCATCCAGTTGAGGGTTCCCTGATGACGTGAGGCATCCCATATTATTCGTCCAAAGTGTGGCACATTGAAATTCGAACGTTATCCTTTTAATATTTTTGTCTTCTTGCTGCTAATTACAAATTAGGCCTGAGTTATTAATGCTTGTTGATACGTTGTTACCAGCGAAGCGGATCCCGCGGGGCGCGGGTGTGGTCTGGTAAACTTTATATTTGTAAATCACCGCAGAATTACCGAACATTCCCACAAAATTGCATCATTAGCAACCATGTATTGCAATGTACGCGATATTCAGCTGGAGCTAGCTCAAAATCCAGGAATTCCATACCGAAATTTAATTTTTGAATTCCAGCGAGTTTGTTTGCCCATCTGGTAAAGAAACTCGCTATGGTCGCGATTCAGTAATTAGTTTTCGAAGTGGCAAAAACGTATGAAAAATATGCGGATGTCCAAAGAAGGACCATGAGGGGACGAACCATTATTTTTCATCGAAATATTTACTCAGACTATTTCTTGTGCATCTGACTTCAAATCTTTTCATAATCTGCCCTAAGGAATCATATATGAGAAGTAGGATCTGCCCTCAGCATTCGAGCAGGTACTTCTGCTTCAAGTTTCTTTCTTTCTTTAGCTCTCTTATTCATTGGAATAAAAAGGATTCGGGAAAGAGCGCCTTTTGAAAAAAAAAGAAGTGTTCTCAGAAGTTTCATCTACAGAAAAAATTGAAAACATCAGCCCCTAAAATCGCGTATTTTTCAGAACTAACCAATTATGGCATCATAATTTAAAAACCTGTTACTCATGGTCACTTGCCACTCAAGGAAAGTTTACCCTACTCATTGCTTATGATTCACATTTAGAGTAAATTTTC